AGGGGGGATGGTCACGCCGCAATCCCTTCTCCTCCATTCTCCTCTCGGGATCTTGGGCATGCACGCACATGCGCCCGGCATGAGTTTTAAGCCACCGGGTTCAGGACGTGAACCGCGGTCGACTCTGTGGGAGTCCAGCGACATAGCCATTACGCTAACTGCTGGTTCCCTAGAGTCATTTGTTAAGGAACTCCAACATTTACCAATAGTAATGAAACAATGAGAGTAAGCCTGAAAAGGGGGCAGAAAAAGAGGAACCAAGAAGTAGAAAATAAGAAAGTGGGTTGTCACAGAATTACGCTAACTGCTGGTTCCCTAGAGTCATTTGTTAAGGAACTCCAACATTTACCAATAGTAATGAAACAATGAGAGTAAGCCTGAAAAGGGGGCAGAAAAAGAGGAACCAAGAAGTAGAAAATAAGAAAGTGGCTTGTCACAGAACATTAAAAAAAAAAAAAAAGAATATTTCAAGGTGAGATATTTTCCCACATGGAGTGTTGCTGAGAGCTCAAAGGAAGGAGGATGGAAAAACACTCATTAGTAACCTTCTTAAAAAGCATGACAGCAACAAAGGTAAAGAAAGAATACATTTTAGTTTAGTTGTACTGTGTTTTAAGTAGAAGTAATTGGTGCCTGTTTAAAGCTGACAGGAAAGATCCAGTTGAGAAGACTGAATATATAGAAAGAAATTAATAATGCAAAACAAGAAATAGGTTTCAGAGCAAAGATTAAGGTAGGAGATTTCATCCCTACTGTAAAAGGATAAAAATGGGTGGGAGCAGATGAAAATAGGTTGAAAAGTTAAAGAAACTCTCATGAGCAGCTGCTCTAAAACCAACTAGTTCTTTGAGATTTCTGTATTCTTACATTATAGAAATTTCAGGGCTGAATGGAATATTAGATGATAAAGTGGTTGTCAATTTTTCTGAACCTCCTCCTCAAAAATATGTTAGATAACATTGGGAGGGGGCATCTTTTGGGCAGAGGGTATCTATTGGGCAGGGGTCAGGGATGCTAAACAATAAATAAGTTTCCTGACCAAGCTATGATGGTGCAAATTGCAGGATGTTGCTGTATAAAGCTCGGGACTTACTGGAGGCCGAGGTTTAGTTCCAGGACCAACCTAAACAGGCCAGGTATGGTGGCATGTTTGTGTAATCCTATCTAAATGGGAGACTAGGGCAGGAAGATCCCAATGTGCCAAGACCCTCTCAGAAAATATTTATTTGAAGGTAGATGGTGGTACAGGGGTAAAGTGTAACACTCTGAAAGGAAATCCCACATGGGACAGTTCCCAGATCAAGTTCACAGACCTTCCTGGGTATTTTTGGTTTATGTGTGCTGTTAGCAAGGTAGGCTTTTATCCTTCTCTTCCTTATCTGGGGCTGTAGAAAGACTTGGGTGGATCACTGAGTTGGAACCCTGTTGGGAGTGCTTCCTCTTTTTCTCTCTTTCTTGCTCTGTCTCGCTCCTTCATGAAAGGAATAATTAAACAAACATTTAAAAAAAGACTTATCCTTCTTCCTTGTCTCATTAGAAAATATAAGAACTCTCTTGCCCCAATGTCAATAAGACCCTGTTAAGAAACTCCTTGGTGCCAGCAGGTGATGTGGAGCTTAGGCGACTGAATTGTTTGTTGCCAACTACACAGTTCAAGTCCTGTACTTGGCAGCTTGAAAATCATACTGGGTGTGTGTTCTTGTGTACCCAGGAGGAGAATGGAAGAGAAGGGATTGTGCCATGGTCATGTCCACTGCGGTGGTGGTGGTAGTAATCTCTCACTTTTCCTCTCTCTCTCACTCTCTCTCTGTCTCTGTCTCCAGTGAGTGAATGTCCCCTATAGCAAAAATAAAGACAGAAAGAAAGAAAGAACTTTGAAGATAGAAAAACAAAAAACAAGTGAAGATATTTGTTAATATCAATGCAGTAAGTTTTATAGAGCAAAAATTCCTGTTCAAGTAACCTATTTCTAAATCCATGCCCTTCTATGTGTCATAACACCAATTCAAGAATGAAAGATAATATTTAAAGTTTCAGAAATGTTTCTAGTGTGGTCATAGGTCAAAATAATTAAAATTATGCATTTGGACATAGGCAGATTCTTAAATGTTTGCCTGTTTACTGCCTATGGGAAAAGTTAACACTTTAAATTGTCTTTCAGATTTTTGTGGTAAGAAGCACCTCTATTATGTTTCTAAA